TATTTATCTTTTCTGATTTCGTGCTATATAGTATTATGAATATGCCAGAATATGTTTAACCCAAATGATGAGTATTTATTTCTAGATTCTTCCTATTATACCTAATGCTGTAGTAAACGTTCTCACATCTTAGTATCTTAGTGTAAATTGCTGTCATGGGAATGGCCAGGTCACGGGTGAGCATTTAAAATAGATGTACACCACCCAGTTGCCCTTCCAGGGCTGCACAGGTCTGCTCCCAGCAGTATTGTGTGTTATTGCTGCTCTTCTTTCTTCACCTGACCTGGGTGTGTGTTATCACAAGCAGGCCTCACCTGGCGAGAACTAGGATATTGTTGTTTTACTTTTGTGTATTTGCATACCTCAAAAATTGATAGTAGCTCCTCATAACATCTCATATCCACGCTATGTTCAGATTTCCCCAATTGTTTAACAAAACCTTTTATATACATCCAAACATGGTTACACTTTGGAGTTGATTGATATGTCCCTGAATCTAATAGTCCCCCTTCCTTCTTTCAATTCAAAATGTTTCAGAAATGTAATTTATTAAATAAAGACACCTGCTACCCCACCCCTATTTAAACAGGTTAGTTTTCACATATCTATGTCACATTGCCCTAAAATGCTTAGAAAACTATTGCTTATAAAAAAGTTCTTCCTTTATTTCTCTTTGAATATCCTTGAGTGAGCTTTCCTGTGTTATAAAAATCTGTGTTCAGTATAGAAAATTGGAAAGTGAAGTAAGATAGATGCCAGGGGCAAGAATGGCCTTTCGATAGAGAAGTCATATCAGAGAAAGTCTGTTGTGGTTAAGAGTGTCTGGATTTGCATGAATGGTGCCTGGTTGTTCTCCATTTCTCTTCACCTCATGTTTTGTTATAGAAAGAACATCTCCTGTCACCAGGATGGGAAATGGAATCTGCATTGGACATGATGGAGTTGTACAGCAGATTGCTGTGTGCTCAAGTGAGCACGTATAGGCTTGGCAAGCGGAGCTTCATGGTGGTTCCTTGTGAGCTCAAGGCATGATTGTATTTTTAATGTCAAAAACCAAAACAAAACACTAACTAGACCTATTTTGATACAAGTTACGCATTGGCAGGATCTTGAGAATATCTTTATTAGCTGGTAGCTAAGATAGGGCTTATGCCCAGATTGTTTTATTTGAAATAAGGAATTATACCAGGAAAATTCCCCAGTGTAATTTCTCAGAATCCAAACTTAAAGCCATCATAGTTTGCTGCTATTATAGCATTTCTAACTCTGACATCCTAAAAGCCTGTAATCTCCTTGTTACTGAGAAAAAGGTAGGTGGAATAGAAGTGATTTGGGTCAGTTTTGAAGTCTACTCTGTAGAGTCAGAATGAACTCAGGAATTGTTGGGATCAGCCTATGCTGTTTCTTCAGTCAACAAGGACTTTTCCTGAGTTCCTTCTGTACAGCACACACTAAACCACAGAATGTGCAGTTATAAAGATTAATTGTTGCTCTTAAGAGCTATCATCTAGAAATTGAAATATGAAGCCCAGGACTTAAAATCCAATTGCAAGTTAAAGCTGAGAAGAGTTATAATCATGTGTTTCTATTCTCTTCAATGGGAGACTAAAAGGGAAGTAGGACACAAGGCAGAAGACACAATATTGTCCCTTATTCAGAAACAGACAAGTGTGATGATCAAGATCATGAACCCTGCAACCGAACATACCTGATCTTAAACGTAGGTTCCACCAGTGCACTGCCTGTGTGACCTTGGATAACACTATCCCTTGGAACCTCCATTAGCTCTTCTGGGAAATGAGAAGAATAAGAGTCGTTACCTGTACTCGTTCCCTGGTGCTGCTGGAACAAAGTGCCACAAACTTGGAGGCTTAAAATGACCGAAATGTGTGCTCTCTCAGCTCTGGAGACCAGAAGTCCGAAATCAAGGTGTCAGCAGGGCCATGCTCCCTCCGAAGGCTCAAGAGGAGAATCTTTCTGCGTTCAGCTCCTAGTGCTGGCTTGTGACAGCATAACTCCAACCTCTGCCTCCATCTTTATGTGGCCTTCCCTCTGCATGGCCTTCTGTCTCTTACAAGGAAGGCCACCCTAATACAGTACGATCTCCTCTTGACACATATGTCTACAAAGACTCTTTCCAAATAAGGTCACATCCTGAGGTTCAAGATAGATGTGAAGTTTGGGAGGACACTATTCAACGCACTACACTACCTCCTAGGATTGGTGTGGGAGTTAATGCCACAGTGCGTGGAAAGGGTTCAGCACAGCACCTACCACAGAGCCACGCTCAATAAACGTTAGCTGTGTACATGATGTATATGGGTGTGTATAAATATATGTATATGTAATTTGTTTTACATTTGTCAAAAGTTTATTTCATTATTTCACCACATTGTAACTTTTAACGTTTTTTACTCTTTGTGAGTGTTGTAGTTTATATCTGATTTTATCATATTTCCTCCTTTAGGCATGTTGTTATTCTTCCCTGTTGTTTGCTTTTTCTCTAGGAATGTGTTGGATATTTGGATATATGTTGTATCCATTTTCTCGATAGACAGTCTCTTATTGTATTGGTGATTTTCCCCAGTGAGCATTTGCTCATCTTGTTAGCTTATTGAGAATCATATTTTCCTGATAGTCCTTTATGGTATTATAACCATCATTTCCTATAAATTACCCATAGAATCTCCCAGAGAAGATACATGCTCTACTTGAAAGGTGTGAAGTTCTGAATGTGTCTCTTTATCCTTTCTTATTCATTATACTCATATCTTCTAGTCAAAGGTCACTGTCTCTTCAGGCCTATACTGTGCTACTTGCTCAGGATTCTATACCCTCAGGAAATTCTCGCCTTTCTGCTCCACCCACACCTCATCCCTAGCTGGAGTGCAGTGAATGGGCTGATAAGTATCCAGGACCCTGGGCTGTCACCCAGACCATGAACTCTGCGTTGGACTTTTCAGCAGGGCCCAGAGGTCTATGATCTGGAATTGACTCTGACTAGAGTCCACGTTGGAGTCTAGAATGGACTCTGAACTCTAGACTGAGCTCCAGGATGCTCCTGACCAAGTGGAAACAGGCTCTGGGTTGGCCCACACTCTAAGTACCTACCGTGTCACTGGACTCTAGGCTTGCCCTAGACTTAGCCACCCTGGACAGCCAAGGTACAACCCCAGACTCTGGATATCTCCTAGTGGCGGCCATTTCTCAAATGAAAGAAAAGCCCATGGGTACATGGAAGGAAACACTGGTCTATTTATTGCAAAGCAAGATTGTCAGCTCGGAAAGCAAGAAAGTGGTCAGGCCTCTTCTGTAACAGGGGAACCAAGGAACAAGACAAGGAGACAGATAGGGTGCAGGAAACGAGCTGATGCACAGAAACAGCCTCCTCTCCCAATGCTGGGCGCTTCCTCTCAAGAAAAATCTTCTGCTGTGCTACTTCCACCTCTCTCTGGGCAGTGCCGGCAACATGCTCCCCAGGCTGAGGTCTCTGATGAGCACAAAGGAACTCCAGGAACTTAGAGCTTCCTCAGGACTGAGCAGCAGTCTGTCTGAGAAGCCGGGCCTGAGTTAGTGGAAGTGAGTCAGTCGCTCCTCTGGGCCTCTGTCCTGGCAGGAAATGCAGAAGCTGTCCTGTCCTAAGTAGAGGATGGTTCAGCTGAGGGCAGCAGTAGCAGCAGGGATCCCACCAGCTCAGCTTCACCGTCCCTTCAAGATTAAGCGGGTTTTCCCATCTCCAATGAAGAACCTACAAAAGAGGTTCAGTGAGGTCTCTGAGCCCTGGGGGAGAGACCCAGCCCTTCATCATATGTCTCCACCCCAGAATTCTCCAGAGAGATGACTTCCTGAGCTTTCCTAGCCTTCATAGCTAGGTCCCCCTGGGGAGAGGAGACACTATTTCCTGTTTGGTTTCCAACCCTTTTCCTGATGATGCTCACTGCTGCCGTTCTGAAAGCAGCAGACAGAATTATCAGCGATACATTTCAGAGCCACAGATTGAGTCCCAAGGGCCCCCAGGACTGCGGATGGGCAGTGGTGTAGGCCGTCTAGATCAGCCCAGACAGTGCCTGTCCCCCCCCCAGACAGTGTGAGGTAAACCCAACTTGTATGTGCGAAGTCCAGACAGATCCCCGTACTACCTGGAGCTGAAGGAACAGAGTGTAAGAAGAGAGCCTGAGAAGTGGTCAGACAGGACAGAGGCAACTCGGTAGTGTTTCCTAATTGCAATCCACGTACCCTTCTGGTAACATCACCCTTATCCACTGCACAGCCCTGGGGAGCACCATCCACATTGTATTTTACGTGAAGTCATCTCTTGATACAGGTGCAGGAACCTTACATGGTTTTCCTATGTGGATGGGTCCCCTGGAGTTGTACCACACTCCTGTGGGCACCACTCCTCCCCTACCCTCTATGCTACTCTTGGTTGTTTGGGTAAGGCTGGCCCCATCCCCACTCCAGGGTTCACCTCATGCTCCAGGCACAGCCAACAAGAGCGTCTGAGCCCCACAGCTGCAGTGATTGGACTCAGAGGTGGGCATGTGACCCAAACTGGGCTAGTCAAATGAGTGAACATCAGATTCAGGGTTTTTGCTAAAGCTCTAGTTCTGTTTCCTCTGGAGTTGTTAAGCTGCTAGAGAGTCTGGTGAGCATGTTCTCCTCTATTGGAGAGCCTAAGCAGGAAGCCCACAGAGAAAGTAGAGCCTATGAGAAAGTCCAAGTCCTGAAGATGTTGTTTGAGCTCTATCCAAAGCCACTGCTACCTGTGAACTTTTGGATTATGTGAGCTAATGAATTCCCCTTTATGACATATGCTGTTGTGAGATGAGTTTTTGTCACTTGCAGCCAAAAGTCCTAGATAGAGCCATGTTCTTTGTGTCTGAAGAGGATCCTTCTTTCCTTCTCCAAACTGAAGTGAGAGCCTACCCTCCATCACTGGATGCTCTGGAGCAGTCACCAGATGCCCACCAGCCAGGCCAGTGACTGAGTCACACTCCTACCTAATGAACAGTCCCACCAGCAGGGCAGCTAGGAGTGGGCCCAGCCAGTAGATCCAGTGGAAGCTCCAGTAGTTGGCCATGACAGCAGGTCCAAAGGCACGGGCAGGGTTCATGCAGGCTCCAGACACATTACCCCTGCAAATAGCCAGCACACTGGTCACCACGATCCCAGCCAGGCCCCACCTCCCCTCAAAGTCATGTCCCCAACTAGACCTAGGGCCCACAGACCCTGGAAACCCTTTCAAAACTCCCATATCATGGCCTTCGGGGTGGATCCTTAACACTGGGAAGCAAAAAGCCTGGCTTCTGTGTGTAGAGTCTGGAACTCCCCACATATCCTAATAAAAATGCCAGCAAAGAATGCCTGTTTGGTGATGGCAGGAAGAGAGGCTGGATCTGAGTCCTCTCCAAAGTCTGTAAAGCAAAGTCAAGCAGTTGTTACCCACTCTGGAGTATAGCTGACCTAGAATCAAAGGCCAGACCAGCTATGTTTCAACTGAGGTGAAAGTGTCTATCCCATAGGGTAGGTGGTTGTCAGGAGTCAAAGAGAAAATGCATATAGAGCCTATGCCTCACGTATAATTAATGTACAACAGCATTAACTATAATCTAGTCAATTCAGACTCTTGTGCTACAAGTTTGAGCCTTCAGTTTCCTATGGGGGAAACCTCCCAGGTGCATCTCTCTAGTTGTGGGTCTGGATCCTCAGCCCATTCACTCAAGCTGGTGGGCCCTGTGTCCAGCAACCAGTCAAAAGGTTTGTACGTGAACCACAGACCACTAGGGGGCAGTAAAGCATGGGCACAGCTTTATACACATTCCCCAGCCCAGTCTGGGCTCCTCAAAGATGACACAGCTGACCCAGGAGAAGGACTAGACTGTGTGCAAAAGAAAGGATGGTGTTGTATATTAGAAATCCCCTTGTCCCAAATCTGTCACTTAATTTGCCACTGCCCATTTACCTTACCGTCCCTTCCATCCTCTCTGAGCCTCAGGTTTCTCATCTATAATATAAAATGGAGAAATAATCCCAGACCCAACTTTGTCTCCTTAATGTCTCCCCATGACTGCTAGGAGTCTTGAAATCAAGAACATGGTGGCTGTAGATGCGTTTTGTAAGCCTGAGGCTAAAACCTGGCTTCCCACTGGCTGAATGAACACAGTCTGCAGGAATGTTTGATTTATCAAAATTGGAAAATGTCATATAAAAATCCAAATTTCTGTATTTTTTTAATGAAATTAAAGGATCACCCCAGACCCATTTTCTCATGAAGCAATGACTGACTAGCGTTGAATTGACAGAAGTCCTTAAACACCGGAGTCCTTACCACTCCCTGTTGTCTGCCCAGGGCCAGCCCACTGCCCTCATCTGCAGCAGCAGCAGCCTGGCCCCTATTAGTAGCTGAGTCTGTGACCTTCAGGCCTGACCTCATCCAGAGCCAGGACAGCCCAGATCTGGGCATAGTTGCCCCATTCCCAAGGGACACTTACCCTGCCAGGATGTCCACTGTGACGGACAGGCCGATGGAGAATGGGGCCAGAGGGCCCTTGGTCCTCTCGTTGATGGCTCCCATGCATACAGCCAGGGCCAGCAGCATCGTCAGGATGATCTCTGCCCCCAATGCCCCTGCCACTTGCCCCTGCTCCTGGACTGTCACAAAGGCCGCCCCAGATGCGTTCCAGAACCTCTCCTCAGGACTCACTGCCTACAGAGAGACAGCTGGGAGCTGAGGGGAGGGGGCCTAAAAGTGCACGCTGCCCACCTTAAGAGCCAGTGAAGGGTTAGGCCAATGTGCAGGTAGACACGTCCGGGTCCACATCCCAGCTCCCCTAGTTCTGACTGTGTGAGCTATGGGCCCTCTCTGAGCCTCAGTTTGCTCATCTGAGGAGTGGGGACAACCCAGCAGTGGCTCCAGGGGTTATGGGCCTGAGCTTATTATGTAACTTGGATGACCCTCTTTGAGAAAAAGAACAAACATCTGCTTGCCACCTTTACAAACACACATGATCAGGTGAATGCAGCGCCAGGCCCCACGGGACCTCGGGAGGGGCCTGTGCAAGGAGAGCCCGGCAGCTGAGGCTCCATTAGCTCCACAGGAATTGGGCCTCAGGTGGTCACAGCAGCTGGAGAAGGAAGACAGTGGCGCACACAGGCTCCTGGGCTCTGCTGCTCACCAGCTTGTCTGAACTTGGGCAAGTTACTGACTTCTGTGCCACTGTTTCCCTGTCTACAGAATGGGGGTGATAATGACAGTTCCTAGGTCACAGGTAAGGGTCTTGGCATGCCTGGCACATAGTGAGTGCTCTCTAAGGACTCACTGTGGTTTCTTGTGAAGTTGCTAGGAGATTAGAGTATGTGGAAAGTGCTTAGCAAGGAGGGTGAGCTCTGTGAACGGCAGCTGTTGCTATGTGCTCATCGGAATCATGTTTGACAAATTTCATGTGGTAGGGCTTGAGGGTGAGTCTGGGCCCCACTATCCACAGAGATTCAGAGGGGGAAGATCCTGGCCGCCTTCCACAGACAGGGAAATCGGCTGCGGGTCTCACGTGGTGGCATGGAGACACCAGGGCAGGGAGAGACAAAAAATGAGACATTGGACCAAAGTCTGCAGTGGGCCAGGGCTGAGAGCTTCAGACCCAATTGCAGCCAGGCTGACGGCTCTCTCATCCACCACACACAGCAAGCAAGGCCCAGGTCTCAAAGGGTCTCTGGTTCAACTGATACTTAAGGATGGAAAGAAGGGGGGATGGGGAAGAGGAAAGAGGGAGGGAGGGAGCCCATCCATAGATTTGTGTGTAGAGCTATACAAATCCTGTGGCTGAGAGGAAGAGCTGGCCTTCTTGTTGCGATGGGAAGATTCCAACCATGAACTGAATATCCACTCCCATCAAAGGTAACTTAGTTTAAAGGCAAGCAAAGTGGAGAACATACAGAAGTTAATTCAGGAATTTCTCAAGAATAGTAATCATATTCATCCTGAATCCGCAGTCATTGCTTAGTGAGATGTTTGTAGAATGAAGGAACAAATGAATGAGTGAGTGAATAATAATAATAATAAAAAGACCCCATTACAACTATCTTAACTCCAAAGCCAAAAATGGGCTCAGGAAGAAGATGCCAAGTCCGAAATTTGCTTCACAGTCTGCAGGGAAGGGCTGTGTCAAACGGGAACAGAACAGGATAGATTTGGGAGGACCGAGCCCCACAGAATGTTTCCCTCCTCAGTAGGAAAGGGTCCACCAAGTTCTACAGGCATAAACAAGCCAAGAGTTGGGCCTTTCTCCACTGCCCACCATCTCCCCACCGACACACACACACCTCCAGCCGTCCCATCAGAGCTGAAGCCTCCGGCCCAGTCCCCGGGGGTCACCCACCTTGGCCAGGGCAGCCCCGATCAGCCCCCCGAACAGCTGGGAGATCCAGTAGGGAACGAGCATCATCAGGGTGAGGCCTCCACTCAGCATGGCCGCCAGGGACACCGCAGGGTTAAAGTGTCCCCCACTGTAACCCACAAGAGCAGAAGGAAGTCATGAGGCTACGGTCCAGGACCAACCACAACTCTGTCACCTGAGAGAATGTGTCCCAGCCAGCCCCCCAGGATGAGCTTGCAGGGCTAGAGTCAGTCTAGGGTCCAGCCCAGATAGGAAGAGGCACCAGATGGCTCCCATTTTCCCTGAGGTGTCAGATGATGGGGCGACAGACACGGGGAGCTAAGGGAAGGGGAGTGCAGCCCCTAAGCCTAAGCCCAGACCTTAAGGTGGCCTCAGAGGAAGAACTGTCCTTTAAGACTGTAAACTGGTCCTTAACTCCTCCCCGAGTGCCTCAGAGCCTCCTCCCGCTCCAGAGGAGGTGCCGCAGGTCAGACTGAGACTCCAGGCTCCAAAGTTAGTAGCCCAAGAGTCATGTCCTGTCCTCCCCTTATTGGTAGCGAGGCCAGAATAAGAGCTCTGGATGTAACTGCTCAGCAAGAAATCCCACTGGTTTCTGAGTGTGAGGAGTGAAACTCGAGTTAGTTTGAAATGGAGTTGAGATTGGGGGTTGGGGTGGGTGGGGGGGTCCTGATCAGGTCAAGGATTGGGAGTTTGGGATGAGCGTCAGAGCTAGACGAGTCAAGAACCTAGGGTTCCGAGGGCAGCTTCCAGTTGCTGCCCTACCTTGCTGGTGGGTAAAGGCTTCCTGTTCATCGAGATGCCACCAGCCTGCCCCAGAGCCAGGAGCCCAAAGCCCTGCATCCCCATTGGTGTGGTATCCCGTTCAGCCCCACTCTGATGGCGGGACTGTTCTCAGAGGTTGCCCATTACATCCCTTTGGTCCCGGTAATGGATACGAGGAAAGTGACCCCATGACCCCAAAATCACAAGAGCCAAAGTGCCTCCAGATGTTAAGACGCCAATAGTGAGCCTGCCACCCCCAATTGGACACAAGGCATTGAGCTGAGACTGGACAGAGGACCTTGCTTGGACAAAGGACTTTGTCCAACACCCTGATACTTCTTGACCAGCTGCCCCCAGCTTGTCTGGCTCAGTTCTCTGCCCAGGCCCTCAGCGTGAGCCTCCTGCATGATACGAAAGCCCACTACCGGTGCTCAGTCTCCAAAAGTCAGGATAAGGGGCCACCAGGCCCTCCTGCCTCAGGTAGCTCAGCCTGGGCTTTGCCAAGTAAACAGGATGCTTTGGCTTCCAGGGGCAGGGGTGGCTTCTCAGGGATCCTGCAGAGCTAGAACCCTTAGGCCATTGGCCTCTACTCCACGTCCCATGGGAGAGGCTGTTATTGAGCACGGCTCCAACAGGAGAGGCTGGATGCCCTGAGGACACATATTCCATGACCAACAGTCAAATACTTTGTTCATTTCATCGTTGCTCACCTCAGCAAATATTTATTGAACACTATGCCGCCGGTGCTGTGCTGGGCACTTACACACCCTAACTTGGATCCATTCGACACCCCGAGTCAGTGCCTGTGCACAGGAGGTGCTGAATCTATATTTGTGGAAAAGTCAATGATTGAATAAAAGGTTGATATTACAGAGAGCAGGATACTACAATGTCAAGAGGATGGTCTCTCCAGCCAGCTGGCCTGGGTTCAAACCCCAGCTGTGCCACTATAGTGCTGTTGTTCCTGTGACAGTTCATAACCTCTCTGTGCCTCAATGATCCCCACCTGACAAGGCTGTGCAAAGCTGTAATGAATTACTTCATGTACAGAGATAGTACTGTCTCTATAGTTAGTTATATAATAAATATCAGCCATTATTATTACCACATTTATACCATGCACACAGGTTCTCAACTCTTGCCCTGCTGACCCAGGTCAGATGTGCTTTTCATTCCCCTGCTCCAGCCTCCCTTGGACATTGAAAGAGATGTTTTCTTTCCATTCTGGTTTTCTCAGAAACAGTATTCTCAGTTCACCTATTCAGATCTATGTTCTGATTGAGATTAATATAGGCCAACCTGTCCCAGATCCTCCTGCCAGATCTTCGTATCCAGCTGCCTCCTCCCTGGGACGCTGGCCGACCTACAGCCCTCCCATGACCCCCACACCGCAGGTGAGAAGCTGAGCCAGAGGAGCCTGTCTCCCCTCTGCCTGCCGACGCCTGTCACAGCTTTGACTGGCGCGGCCACCCTTGCCAGGTCTTATGCACCACTCGAGTGGGAGCCCCGGTGGTTCCTCTGCACATCTTTGCCCTTTCCTAACGCCCTTGTAGTGTAACAATAACACCAGCAACCAGCAACCGGCTGAGTGCTTGGCCGTGTGCTGAGCCTTCACTTCATTTCATTCTCCAACACCCCCACCCACTTAAGGCACTCCGCCTTGGGTGGCTGGGCCAGACAGCTTGACCTTTGGTTTCCTGGCTCTGTCACTTTCTAGCCCCTATAACCTGGGACAGGTACACGGACTTTCTCTTTTACAGCTTAAATGGGGCCTACAACGGGACCCCTACCCCACAAGGTTCTGTGAGGGTTGGATTGATTAATCATCTATAAAGGGCCTTAGAAACGTGCCTGGTACATGCTTAGCAAGATACGACATGTTAGCTTGGAACCCAAAATTAATTGAAAAAATACGCTGCTATTCCCATTTTATAGTTTTGAGAAGGGACCTGCCCAAGCCAGGCCGCTCACGGGCATGCAAGGAGTGAGGGAACCCAAGGCAGGCCTGAGGCCCCACCCCACGACCCTGCTCTCACAGTGCTCCCTGGAAGTCCCGAGTGGTCCAGGGCCTGACCACAGCTTTGTCCCCACCGCCAGCCTTCGCCTGGGGCCCACGCTGAGTGCTTGAGGCTGGTCTCAACCCCTGAATGTTCACCAGTGTGGGCAATGATACCCCAGGGCCAGCCCGTGGGCCCAGGGCTTGGCTGCAGCAGCCCTGGTGTCCGGTCCGCAGTTCTCCGATGACAGACAGGGCCAGCCGTATGAAGATGATAAGGGCATGAGGCCGCAAGAGCTCAGCCAGGCCAGGGTTGCCAGCCCAGGCCGCTCGTACCAGGACACACGCCACCCTTGTCACCCACGCTCCCGAGCCTCCTTCAGCCTTGACGTTGCCAAAGTTAGAGTCCACACATAGCTACCTGGCGCGGGAAAGAAGGGAGCAGTGGTCATAGGGTGGCAGGCAGAGCCCAGACCCAGGGAAGGCCCGCGACCCCTACACCTTAGAATTCCTTCGCAGCCAACCTCTTGCTCTGCCCAGGCTGCCAGAGGAAGA